GTACTGCTCGACACCCTAAGAACGAGGTTGACAGCAATGACAATAGTAAACTGGTAAAAGTGTACTTCGGCGGCCAATTTCTGTATTCTGTGAGACAACTAAATCCATTTTCTTTTATTGGACCCACCAAATACCTGGCGATACTAAAAAGCAGCATGAGTGTCATGGAATGAGGACAAGGTTATGGCTTTTTTGAAATATGGGGTAAAAATGATGGGAATGATGAAGGAAAAAGCATGAAAATGAAGAGAAGCGTGCCAGCTTATGCCAGATGATGTGTTGATTCCAACGCGCGTCGACTTGAAAAATAATGGATAAGAAAGTCATTGTTTTTGTCCAAATACTGTTGGATATCTGAAGGTCTAGGGGAAAGGAAGATTGCTTGGGGTTGCAGAAGTGATTGTGGAGCAATGAAAACTGTCTGTTTTGGAGCTATAAAGGAACAACATTTCCTCAGACGTCACAGCTGCATGGCTCACAACGCAAAGTCCATGCAGTATTTGAGCCACATTTTATGGGGCTATAAATTGGGTGGTACGTGCATGACCTACAACCCGGAGAAAAAAATCCCGCATTCGTATCGTATCGGACAAACTCTATCCAAATATCCCCTAAAATTTAATTTGCAGGGATACAGGATAAACTATAGACATAAAAATAGACAAAATAGCGGGTGACATGCACCGTGTGGAAAGAAATCTCTTCTTGGAAGAAATGTGGTTCTGAGGACGAACAGAACACACTGCCGAAACGTCGAGTTTTACACTCAACCAACCGGTTCTTTTCAGAACCACACTTCTTCCAAGAAGAGATTTCTTTCCACATGGTGTTACCCGCAATTTTTGTCTATTGTTTTTAGGTCATCCGCCATGCAAAGCTTCAAGTCATGTATAACTATAGACGTCTATGGAGGTATATGGAAAAAAAATTTTTTTTACTGGTTATTAGCGGGTAAAAAGCTTGCATAACGAATACCAATTTTGTTCAAAGATAAACAATTGGGTAATCAAGATAAAAACATGGCATTTTCCCAGACTGTGAAATAAATGTAAAAAGTCGGGAACTTCCAGTAAACACCGATTATGACGTGTTATTGAATGTTTTTATCTTACCATTGTTCTGAAATGCTACAATTTTTTTTTATGAAATACAGGTTTGGGAAATACTCCGGAGTGACAGTAACTTATTGGCCTCCGTAACTATGTTTTTGTGCCAACTTTGAGTTAACCTCTACAGGGTGAGTAAAAAAAAAGAAACCCAAATGTTGGGACTATTGTTTTATTGAAGTTCTGCATGTAGCACTTTCGAAATCTAAGATATGAAAGCCCAATTCATACGCTTTCTTTTAGTACAAGAATCATTCAGATCACTTATGTACTTTTCAAGTTACGGAATTTCAAACACAACCACCGTTTAAGGTTCTGTCCACGGATCACAACAAAGTTCAGTGTTCTTTCAGCAAAACAAATCACATAGGGATGTGTGTGAATTGTTTTCGTTTTGGTGAAAGAACGCACACCTTTTTTTGTGTGATCCGTGGACAGAACCTTAAAATGGTGGTTGCGTTTAAAATTCCATAACTTAAAAAGTACATGAGTGATTTGAATGATTTTTGTACTAAAAAAAGCTTAAGAAGTGGACTTTCATAATGTTAGATTTTAAAAAATGCTACATGCAGAACTTCAATAAAATAATGGTCCCAACATTTGGGTTTCGTGGTTTTTTTTTACTCACCCTGTATAATTACCTTGCCATACGTTATGGGGTCCTTCAATAAATTTGGGGTTCGATTTTTTTTGGGGGGGGGGGTTCCTGTTACATCTGACATAATATTTTGTAATTACTGAATACACTCTTTTGTGCCTTTTACAGTAATGAATAGAACAGAGTCACTTAAACCTCAACTTTTTGCTTAACGATTTTTTTTATTCGTACAATTTTAAATAACTTCTTTTTTTTGTTCACTCTGTCAAAACGTCTGTCTGTTTCCTAATTTAACTCACAAGAAATTATTCAAGAAAGTACCCAAATATCCCTGACCAATGTGGAGGTTTAAAACGAGACTTCTACTTTACATTAAAAATCAAACAAAACTTTAAGAACATTTTAAAATGTAATTGGAGTTGAAATGTCTACCTCCGATTGTCAATAACCTGTCAATGCCACCAGTGGGCGTAGCCTTATTTTTTTTGGGGGGGGGGCACGTCCAGCATTTTATGAGGGTCAGGGGACACCAAGGGCGAACCAAGGACCTTTCCCCAAAATTCGAAAAGGGAATTTAAAAAAAAGGAGGCATCTGATTAATTACTAAAAAATATACTAAAAAAACACTTCCTTGACGAGAGGCATGGGGGGGGGGGGGGGGGGTCGGAGCGGGGGGGGGGGGGAGGAACTGAGAATTGATGGAAGTGGGGCGTGCCCCAGGACCCCCTTGGTTAAGCCACTGAATGCCGCGGTAAGGTATGACTACGGGCCGACGTGAGCAAGAATATTGGGCAGTCACATCCAGCATTGTATATTATCTTTTTTTTTCACAAGCATCGGTTTCGTTCCGGAAGTGGCTTCGAGAGACCTCTAATGAAAATTGACTTAGGGATTCTGGATCTATCAACGAGGAGCATCTATACCTATTAGCACTGATGGGCCAGAGCTGGCCGAATCGCTGGGGTATTTCTATTTAGTTTGGACATAAAGGTTTCAAAATGATTTATAAGACATGTCTGAAGCGAAGCCAAGGTTTAGAAAAACTCCTCATAGCGATCGTTCCAGAGGGCGCTATTCTTGTGGTCCATTCTAAAAACGAGATGAGCTGCAGGTGAGCTCTCAGAAAGTTATTTGCGTCACTTTTTCAAAATGAAAAAAATAAATAATTTTCGTTAAGTCCATTATTAACAGATGTAAACAAATTAACAAGGCAAGTAAAATTTCGAGTCAGATTTATCGGCGTCGTATATACGCGCTGGTAACTCAAGACACGGAACAAAGAATTGCGAACGTTTTTTTTTTTTTTAGACCGATGGACTCTAGATAGACCCGTGGGCCAGACGCGCCTAAAAAATGAAGTCCGTTCAAGATTTCTGGTGGAAACATAAAAATGCTTGTTCTTTGTCGATTCGAGGGTGCTGAATTCAATTTTGTCTGTTGCCAAGCTCTCAGGTGGCACGTTTAAGCACAATCATTTGCCGTCCCCAAAACATCCATTTTGGGGGCCTCTGACAACCGATGGCGCAATCATCCCCTTAAGGATCTCAGGAATGGCCCCTCCGATTTCAATGCAGATTGTAACCCACTTGGAATAATTAATGATAAATAACTGTAAAGATTGTAGGCTCATAGCCAAAGGGCTTCCACAATAACGGTAATAATGAATCGACTACTGCAACTCACTACTCAACGGACTCGAGCAATCCGATCTGGCCCGCTTGCAGAAAATTCAAAATAGAGCAGCCCGGGTCATCTTCTCCCTTCCAAGACACACTCACACATCCCCACTTCTTCAGCAGCTTCATTGGTTGAGAAACGCATCACTGGTACAAGACAGCCTTAATAATGTACAAAGTAACCACTAACTCATCTTCAGAATACATTTCAAGCTCACTGGATCTTACAGCACCGGCACGAAGAAACTTACGCTCCCAGGGGAACCTACGTATTCCTCGCACTGCAAAGAAAGCAGGAGATAAGGCCCTCACTGTGGCGGGTCCAAGAATCTGGAACTCCATCCCACAATCAGTTCGATGCTCCACCTCAATACATATGTTTAAATCCTCACTTAAAACCTACCTGTTCACTTCATTCATGTTAATGTTCTTTTTTGTTTTTTTTCCTACTATCAGAGGTGTCCTTGGTTGCGCTTTGTAACCTTTGGAAAAGGCGCGTTATAAATGTTATTATTATTATTATTATTATTATAATGCAAAAACAATGCAATGTTTTATTACATGTACCACCTGGTTTTTAAAGCATAACTGATTTAAATCCGTAATGCATTCCAGACTTTTCCCATAAATGTAAATGACTAAATTACATGTCATTAAAAAGCCTTTGATATCCAAAAAACTCATTATTAAAGTTTGTTATTGAGTTTTGGTAATTAAGTAGGAAATTTTGCAGCAAATAACGCTTTGGTCATATTCAATGTTGCATATGCTAACATAGTATTTTCCCAAAGTATCGTCACTGAAATTTTCCATGTGATGCTGAAAGATTACTGATAATGTCGTTATCAGTAATCTGCCGAAAACTTGAATTCCAAAAATTGTATAATTATGGGAAATAATTATGTAATAATACAACAAAATTGTTTTTCTTCAAGGCGTTATTATTCTCAAATGCAGAGCTCAAAGAGCTCTCTGTAGATGACCGAATTACGTCATTAACCTAACGTGAAGTATTTTAATGCCAAACGTTTCATAAATTTCCGTTTCATTATACTCCTTGAAATTAAAGTTATGCCATTCTCCAATTAAACAAAATGCGAATCAGATTGGGTATAAAACAACCTGGTTACTGTCGAAAATATACACGTTTTAACTTAAAAAATACGATTAGGTCAACGGAAATAATTTAGCCATTGTCATTACAGTAAACGGAAACCAGCTTTTAAAGGAAATTATTATTAATTTTGGAAAATAATCTTGGGAAATCCATAACATGATTCATAATTATTGTTTCGATACATCATCAGCGATATGAATGACAACCTCATGATGACACACGCGTTAGCGCTAGCATAGCGTTGACGATTACAAGGAGTAACACAAGTGGGGGTTATCATAAAATGTGATGGACAAACATGGGCAGAATATGCAATAAAGTCGTTTAATAAAAGAAGTGCATAGTACAATCAGATGCAAACGGAAGAAAATATCAAATGCAATATTACTTTACAATTACATGAACTATTCGAGACAGTAAAAAATGAAATGGTAAACAGCAAACACCCCTATGATAATAGTGGTCGTTTCCATCGATATTTTTCGCATAGTATTTTTCACACGATTCAGCAAGCCGGTTGTTTCATTGCTCCGGTAAATTTCTAAGGGAAAAATGATGTTTAAAAACATAAAAAGGCAAAAATCTCAAGTTTTATTCTTCCACACCCATGAGACAATGATCAGAGACTAAGAATCGACAAGAATTTTCACGAAAGGAGAGGATTTGAGGTGATAAACATGCCGCTGCCTTTCGACTTGGACAAGCGGTGGGGATCTGATCGCAGGTAGGCCGGCCTAGCGCTAGGTGGTTTTGTTGTGACATTTCACTGCATGGCAGTTGTGTGTAGTCTCCGAAGTGCAGTGTTGACTAGATTGTCTCAGGTCAATATGGAAAACCGGTGTTGGTTCCGTGAATTGTCAAGGGAAACAAAATAACCTCCAAATTGACATTGCCATGTATTAAACTGTAAAAGCAGGAGTGATCGAAAACCAGAGTGCTGGGTGCATCCATGTTTGTGCACAAACCTATGGAAAACTTGAAATTTTGTGTGATTATGAAGAATGAATGTTGCAAACTGATGCCAGTTTTTTCTTCATAATCATCTCAATAATGGTCACTCATTGCAAAATAGTTGAAAAGACATGAATCTTGGACTGAGAAACATTTCCAATTTGTTAGGAAATACTTGGAAAATTTTCTTGACTCTCCATAGACTTTGTACACAACCACTGAATTGGTGTCTGGATACTACATTCTTTCCGAATTTTGTACGGCTATACATGTGCATCTGCGTTTGTTTTCTATACAAGTGCGTTATCGAAGCCGATGCGCCTACACTGAAATGCACAATCAGTAAATGAGCATTTCATTTTGCTCTGCTCAAGCTACACAAATGCTTGCACATATCCGCTTGCAGATTATATTTGTTGTGACGTTTTGTAACCGTCATGGTACGCTTCAGTTGTTCGTGTATGTTGTACTAGCGGTTTGCATTGAGAGTAGGCCTACACTTTTAAAATTCAATCCATCTAATTTCATTATGTTCTACAAACACGCACATAAATTCGAAATGTCTGTGCGCAGGAAGGATTCAACGTATCTCCATGCATAAGAAAGAGGAGTTAGTGCTCTAGTAATTTAATATAGGTCCTAGCTCTATGTTGAAATTTTGCGTGTGCATGTTACTGTTGGTTGTCCAGCTCACTTACTTCATGGGAGATTCTCCAGTATTTGGAAGTAGGGGCAGTATTTGGAAAAAAAACCCAGTATTTTCCAACCATGGTCGGTTTACCATTGTTGGAAATCGATACAAAAATTTCACATTTCTTGAAAATGACAGCATACCAGGTGCCATGATTTCACAGGATGTGTCAGACTAGTATTCACATTTAGCCGAGTATGGTTCCTAATAATTTGGGCGTTTTGTTTTGTTGATCAATGTTTGCAAATGTTGTATAAGTGGCAGAGAAATCAAGTTAGTCTGTAGATCTTTTGAACTCAACTGTTTGTGTACATGGAATAAGTTTCTTTGTTTCCCTTGCTCTCTTCACCCTATTAACCTGTGAAGTTCAGTAGTTCATGCTCCCCGCCCAGCTGACTTGCCGGCCCATAACAGCACCCATGCCAGACACAACAGCCCAATTACTTACCCCTGTCACCCATATGATTGGGTGTTATTCAGCCCCTATTGCACCCCAATCATCAGGGTCACCCATGCAGGAAATAATCCTTCCCCCATTGTACCTCTATTCAGTCTGGGTTGTTTTGGTGGACAGAGAGGGGATAATGCTGTATTGTATGTACATCTGAGGACAAACACAAACTCTGGATTCGGGGTCATGCAAGTTTGCTTTCTCTCTATTTTTGGTAGGAGGGTGGCAAAAACCAAAACCAACAACAAACATAAACCACTTTCATGAACCACAAACATCAGAAATGTCTGACTCCTTTGTGCTCCGATAAAAAAAACTACTAAAGCATTAGAATTGGTGGGGGGGGGGGGGGACCTGAAAAGGGGCTGAAAGGGGGGCACTTCGGTGCTACCGGTATACATGTAAATATAATCATTATACCTCATACATAAGTATTCAGCTCGAGAGCCAGCTTCTCACTGGTCCATCACGTGCCAGCCACTAGTTTTGCTGTTTACCAAGTGCGTATGTGAGGTTTCACGCACCTGTAGGTTAAATACGCAATTCAAAGTAGACAATTGCGCGGGTTAGTTATGTTAAAAGATGGGGGCACATGTAAGCACAACAACGTTTTGTTGAAAAAACTGATACATAACTTGTTGAAATTTTTGTAAAGTACAATGTACCTGAAAAAAAGATACGAATAACAGACAGTTAATATCAGGTTGGTAGTCAGGTCCCCTCGGTATTAGAAGTTGACAAAATGTGTCCACACTTTGTGGTCACGAGGCGCCATCGACTGTTCATCACTTGCCAGATTTCTCACATTCCAAATGATGTTTGACTTTTGAGATGTGACTGCACTTTAGAAAACTAAGAAAATATAGGGGGGGATGGTGGATGAGACTTGGGAGGATAGGCCTGGATGTTTCCTGCAGTTTAGGGTTTCATTTGTGAAATCCAGGCAAGGGTAATCCCAGGCACGATGATTCATGGAGCATGATCTGTTTCCATCACACTACATTATGTTTGTGGAATCACATCAGTCTATAAAATCACAATCCTCTGTGTGGGCCGATTCAAAATCAGTTTCAAGAACCGTCTTGTGGCCCATTATGTAGCAAAGTATCTTTCTCTTTCTCTGTCCTGACCAGCTACCATACTTTGCTCTCTATTTTCTCGTAGTGATAATCTCATCTGGGGGAGTGTGGCCTAGTGGCTAGTATTCGTGACTCCTGATCAGAGGGTCAGGGTTCGAATCCAGCTGCTGGTCATAATTGTGTCCTTGGGCAAGCCACTTCATCCCCACTTGCCTCTCTCCACCCAGGAGTATAAATGGGTACTGGCATTAGCTGGGGAGTAACCTGCGATTGGACTAGCATCCCATTCAGGGGGAATAGAAATATTCTCAGTTGTTTCATGCTACCGAAACCTGAGATAAACGCCGGCCTGATGGGCCACATTGGCTCATGACAGACTTTACTACGTTACTTAGTCTCATTATTAAATGTAATATCTTTGATTCCTGTTGTCTGTATGTTCATCAGTACATGTACCGATACGTCCTTGGTTATTGTTTGTGTTCCATATGTACTTGTCCATTAGTTTGTCTGTTTTTCTTGAAATTTTTTGAAATTACTTTTACAGTTTTGCTTTTTAAGTATAGGCTTGCCCCTATAAGCTTCGGCTTTTGAAATCATGCTTTTATAAATCTTAAGATAACTACTTACTGTCATGATGCTTTTACTTTGCTTTTGATGGAAATAAATGTTAATGAAATTGAAAAAAAAATTGAAATAATTCTGAGGTCTTTGGAATCAACCAGGAAATGTCTGGATTTCTAACTGAACGGTTATTACTCAACCACCTGTTTCCACTTACGTTTTCCCTGTGATTGCATGATGTACAAAACAGTTGGGTAGCCCCTACTTGATCTTGTCTGGCTGCGGAACAAATGCGCACGTGATAGCTGACTCAAAACCCCAGAACGTGACACTTAGAATCAGGCCTTCATTTTGTAGAACTCTGATTGCTGTGGACCATATGTTGAACTGTTGCAAACCTCACACACACGAACGCTTGCATGGTAACACCTCTGTCCGTGATCAATGAAGGGAATTGGCAATTTTCAGAACTGCCGTTGGGGCAAAGCCAAACTAGAATTGATCAAACTCAATGAAGAGTACGACAGAGGCTCCGTATAATTTTATTGTGGCTATTTTGTTGTGGTTCCCTAATAGGTCATATTTCTGAGCAAATAAGGCAAAGTAACGACGGCACATTTCGGGGGTGCAAACAGTTGAAATATTAGGGCTGTCCAATTTTGAAAAATTTAGTTTCACCGAAATTTCAGATATATTCCAAAAGTGCAAGCCGCGACTGCGTGCTGCACTGGTAAAAAGTTGCATGAAGAGTGTGCCAGTTAAGATTTGCTTGCGGCAATCGATATGGGGCGCTAGAGTGTTTAGGATTTTATAGCTGTAAAAAGGCTTTAACCCTAACCCCCCTAGGCCCTCTGGCTAAAGAAAAAATTGGATTCAGCCTCAATCCTCCAAAATCATCCGTTATTTCTTGAATTCACCGGTAGTCGGTGGAGGGTGACCACTGCCTCAATCCTCCAAAATCCTCTGCAAATTACTGCAATGGTTTGAGGCAGTGTGAATGGCGTTGAAATACGAGAAAAACACAGGGCTGATTTATGCATAGCTGAACATAACCAATGCAGGATTTGGCCTACTGGCTTGACGTGATGCTTAATTCCTCCACAGAAAAGCGATACATCTTTGCCATTCCTCCTCAATCCTCTAAAATCATCCGAAACCGGCAGGAGGATTTCGGAGAATTGAGGAGGGTTAGGGTTAATCTACCAAAAGGATTTGAACAATAAACCGCCGTCAACAAAAAAGTTACCATCGACAAAAAAGTGGCACCTTACAATAAAGTGCCGCAACTTGAAGATAAAATAACATCACAGTCGTGCATAGTGTTTTTTGTTTTCGAATATTGAAACTGGAAAAAGCTACATGTATTTGAATATCGATGGTCGAATATTCGACTATTCATTATTCGGGACAGCTCAAAGAAATCTATCACTTTCGTAAGCCATCGTGATCGATCTAAATTTGAAACGATTTTGAAATGCAAACTTGTGTCAATAACCTTGATTTCACAGCTGTTCCAACCCTCAATATGGCTCATTTGCTCAAAGTACAACCTAAGAGTGAAAGGCCTTTTGGCTCTCCTCAACACCTGACGGAGGGCCTCTTTGCTGACCCTGGCCCAAGGCAGAATTGCATCCTTGTCCGAACAGTGAGAGTTCTTCACAAGGTGCCTTCTGATGCTGTGTTTGTATGCATAAAATATGCGCACAGTTCGAGTGTGAACATAAGCAGTGTGTGGTCAGGAGCAGTCAGAATACAGAAAATAAACTGAAACAATTACCCTAACATTTAAATTAATATACATGGGTACATGTATATGCCTCTGTTGTTAAACTTGTGTACCAGTAGCAACAGAATAACTGTGCTATTCCTTTAGTTGAACTTCATCTGGTTTACAGGTGATTATAAAAAAAGAGAAAATTCATTGAATAATAAATAAGACCCCAAGTTGTTAACAGAAGGGTCCCTTTTTGTTTTTTTATTGTTACCGG